GATGGGACATGTGCATCTGCCTTTGCCACTGCTAAGCGGGCAGTCAAGGCTGTGCAAACCTTGAGTGTGATGAACCCATCAATGCCCTGTGATCTAGATGTTCATGAGACCAAAGATGGTTATGGCTGGGGCCTCTGGCAGTGGCTTGAGTGGACCTGCCAATCTATTGGATTCCAGTTGTAACTCTGGAAAGGAGCAGAGGTCTGGTACACCTTGACAGAAAAGCAGTTGGCTGCTATGTACTACACCTTGCTGGCTAGGGAGCCCATCAATGGAACAGCTCCAACAAAGATAATAATCACCTATCCCATCGCAGGGTGGGAATGAGACTGGACCTAAAGGCCATGGAATGGCATGGCACAGACGGCAACACTGGCCAAGGGTTGCACCCTCTCTACTAGCCCCTTGAGTGGAGAAATCCACTGGCTTATTGGGGCCAGTGACATAGACCAGTGAGAGGCAGCAAGAATTTGCTTTGGAGCCATTAGTAGCAGAAAGCCCTTATTGGGAGGGAAGAGCCCCTATTCCCAAAGATGGTACACAGACAGCTCCAGCTGTGGGCAGCCCCCAAAGTGGAGGGCTGTGGCTTTCCATCCTAAGGTTGAGACAACATGGATGGAGCAGTCAATGGGCAGCCCTGTGGGCAGTATGGCTCATGATCACCCAGGAGCCCTCCCCAATAGCTGTCTGCACTGATAGCTGGGCCATCTATCAAGGCCTAACTCTGTGGCTACCAACATGGTACCATACCAACTGGATGGTTTGGTCACCAGCCCCTTTGGGGGCACGAGCTATGGCAAAACTTATGGGCCTCTGGTCAGACTAAGTCAGTTACCATATATCATGTGACTGGTCATTTGCCTTTGGCATCCCCAGGGAATGATGAAGCAGACACATTGGGCCAGGTGCATTGGCTAGAAGGAAAGCCTGCTTCTGATGTGGCCTAATGGTTACATTTACACTTGCAGGGCAAAAGACAGTGTGGGCTATAGCCCATCAGTGGGGCCTGCATTTGACCTTTTAAGAAGTCAGCAGAGCCTGGAAGGAGTGCGTGTGCTCTAAAAGAGACTTACACTGAGTCCCACAACAACATGGGACAATAGTAAAGGGGCCAATACCCTTGGTCAGGTGGAAGATAAGACTATATTAGGCCTCTGCCCATATCAGAAGGGTGTCAATATGCCATGACGTGTGGACACAGATACTGGACTTTTGATTGCTTTTCCTGCATATTGTGCAGATCAGCAAATGAAACAAGAGACCTAGAATGTCTGTTTGCAGCCTATGGCTAACTGCAGGTGATTGGAAGTGAACAAGGCACTCACGTTACTGGACATGCATTACAAGAATGGATGCAACAATTAGGGATAAGGTGGAAGTTTCACATACCATATAACTCTATCAGGGCAGGAACAATAGAGAGGTACAATGGTTTGTTGAAATTTGTCCTGAAGTCAGACACCAACAGTCTACAGGGCTGGTCAGCCCGTTTATAGACAGTGCTACAGCATTTGAATGAAGGGGATATTGAGACCCGTGGACATGCTAACACATATTGCTGCCTCCCCTATACAACTGCATGTACAAAACCAAGGAGGAATTGTTGAAGCCTGGGTTTGGTCACCAGAAGAATATTTTGCCAGTACCAACTGTGGTAAACCCTGGAAACTCCACTGAGTGGATGTAGTCTTGGACCTTCTGACACATGGACCAGTGATGGCTGGTCCTTACAGCACCTTGGGGACAAAGTCTGGAAGCTGGGCTGCTGTGTGTTCTTATAGTAACAGCAGAGTGGCCCCCCAAAATTATGGTAACATATCCTACATTGCTGGAAGATAGGAGCATCTTACCAGGGAGTTTTGTCTTATCATTGTGGCCGGTGCTAGTGCTTCCTGTAGCCCTACATATAAACCCATCAGTAATTCCCACAGGGATAGGTGTGAAGGTCTGGTGTACCAGACCAGGACGGGACCCCTTTCCTGCCACTGTCCTAACATGGGACCACTCTCTTGCATGCATCCTCCCTACGGACAAGATTTGCCTGTGTTGGTGTCATGAAATCATGTGTCTTATCACACTGAAGGTTAATCTCTTCTAGTCTTCGTGGATTGGGCCCACCCCCTAGTAATAGCTGCTGCTTGCTGAGCATGCAAAGAACTCCCTGCTGGTTCAGCTGCTGGCCTCCCATGGAATGTGCCACTCATGGACTCAATGTGAGCAGGACTTTGAATGCAGCTGGAATCTCAGGCTTGGATTGTCAAGGTTTTGTTGTTATCTGTATCATAATTTTGTTATTTATATGTTGTTAATAACCTCTGTTGCTCTTGTGGAATCTAATTACAGTGCTCTGGCTTTCTCACACGGGGGCCATCATGGAAGATTTTGGGCACACAGATGGTGAGGCAAGAATCCTAGAGGGGGTTACCAGTCACTGGAGTACCTGTCCAGCCAAGGGGTAGAGAGGAAACACCCATTCTCTCCTCTCCCTGTGTACCTGGTACATAATTGGTCAGACATCCACCAGTCACTGGGGACCACACGCAGAAGTCCTCCTGGTGCTTGGGAGCACCAGGGAGGTGTTTGAGCCAGCCATGTATACCGTGCTGCCTGTGATTACTGTGAGAATAAACATGATAACCCCCCTTCACCCCCAACTTTTTGTACTTGCCTTTCTTCAGCCTTACCAAATTCATAGGAACTTGCCCCAGGCAGTGAAACCCCACATCCTCCTTCCAGATCTACACCTGGGATATCATTTCCACTTATCAGATTGATAAAGGTCCAATGGTTTGGTGGCTTAACCTAATGGATGAGAAATTTACAGCCCCAAAGCTCAGACAACATACTTTTTGAATACACATGTAACCAGTATGAAAACTGATCATATTTGAGGCTATAAAGAAAGCCTTATTCGGTTCCAAAGAACTGATGTAAATATCTGACTATAATGCAGTAGCATTAGAAATAACAAAAAACAGCCGTGACTTTTGAGTTGAAGAACTCAACGTTAAATTAAAGAACTAAATGTGGAAATGAATAACAATGAAAACAGTAGATGCCAAACTTGTAGGACACAACTTATGTAGTAGAGGGAAATGCACAGCTTTAAGGACATTATCAGAAAAACACAAACTAAATTCTCAATTCAGAAGTGTAGATTAAAAGAGACAGAACACAAATTATAAACAAGGGGCAAAAATCAATAGAGAATTCAAAGAAAAAAGAGAAAAAGCTAACCAAACCAAGAGATAGGTTTTTTTTTTTTAAAGATCAACAATCAGTATCAGAGCTGATCAAAAGAGCAAAGATGCAAATGAGAAAATAAGAAACCAAATGAAATTTTAAGAAAAATAAAAGAATCTTAAATGACTATTTATAAAGTTGACAACCTAGACAAAATGAATACATTTCTTAAAAAATGTAAAATAACAAAATTGATGCAAAAAGCAGAAAATTTGAATAAACTCAAGAAATTGAAATGGTATAGAAGAAGAAAAACCGAAACCCAGATAGATTTACAAGTAAATTTCAACCAAACTCTTATGAAGGTATTTGATCAACTATTTGATGACATAAACAGTGTAAGAAGAAACACTTTTAGAGCCCAAATGTGAAGTATGTGGAGATATGTTCCAACTCACCAGTAGTCAACAATAATAATGCAAACTAAAACATCCAAGCAAGACAATATCAAGTGCATATAGAAACTTGGGAAGAGGTGCTGCTCGTGGGAATCTAAACAGTTGCAATCATTCTACAAAGTAATCTTATGGTACCTAGTGAAATCATGCAGAAAACCCTTTGTACAGTATTCCAGGGTAAATATTCTAACTCAGGTCAGGTCCACAAGGGGACACATATTAGGATTTCTTTGTGGCAGCCAGAGATTGTATTCATCATTACAGGAATGAATAAGTAAAAATTAGTTAAGTATATACTATGAATTACTGCACAAATGTTAGAACCAATGAATAGTATTAGAGCACTGTGCTCAGAGGAACATGATAGAAAAACAGTGCTGAGGTAGGAAAAAATGACACCTTCATAGCATAACACCATTAATGTAAATTTAAAACACAAGACATATAACTTAAGGGCTACATATACATTGAAGGGTGCATATCAAACACATGTGCTCACCTACGGGGGAGAACAGGATATTAGACCTTCACACGGATGTCAGTGCTTTCAGTTAAGAGAAACTGAAAAGGTGATCATATTTCTTTCAGGCTCAGTTTAGTTATCTGTAAAACTGAAATAATAATTTCACCCTCTCAAGTTTTTATGAGTATTACCTGAAAGAATGTAATATATGTAGACAGTTAATGGCAGTTATTAATGGTAAAAATCCAGCAGGAGGTTCAGTTGTGTGCCTGAGAGCCAGCTGCTCCTGTGAAACAGGATTGCAAATTCATCTGTGTGTCCTGCCTCCCAGTATCTAGGTTGTGTCCCAAACAGCAGTGCTTTTAGCCTTTGTCTCTGATCTTGGAATGGGAACCGCAGCTCCAGAGTCTCTCTGAGTTTCCTATTTGAGGCTGTTAGGACTCTGCCTTCTATTAAGTATGTTTAAACTCATACTGCAAACAGAAAATCAAGTAATTCCTTTAAGATGAAGAGCCAGTCATTAAACTGATGGATCCATTATTCTCTTAACTTGACATTCTTCCCTTAAAAGCCTATGGTGAATCAATGCTACAAATAATTTTAATTATGAAAAAGCCTGTTAAAGACTTTAGGTGAATTTTTAAAAATTCATCCTTATTATGAAACAAAATAATCAGTACAAAATTAATTTTTAACAACAAATAAAATGTAACAATTCTATTAGCCTTATGAAGGCTGCGTGCTCAGCATTCATATATTTTTTATATCAAAGTTTTTTCCTCAGAATAAACAATTATGTCATATAAAAGATTAGGATGTTCTCACATGTATAGCAAACATACGGTGTATGAGTCAGAACTCCAATTCCAAGAGATAAAAATCCAATTCAAATTAACTTAGGTAAAAAAAAGGAAGTTTATTGGATCACAAAAATTAAAAAGCAAAGGATGGTGTAGACTTCAGGCATACCTGGATCCAGAAGATCAATATCATCAGATTTCTGTCTCATATCCATTTCCTCTGTGTTGTATTTATCTTGGGAAGGCTTTCCTCATGGTGGCAAAAAGGCTATGGGTGAGTTTTAACCTTACTAAATCCTCAAAACATGCAATTCCAGTGGGAGAAAGATCTCTTACTGCCCAGAACAATACCACTACCCTTCCCCGGCCCCTCCACTCAGGGCTCCATCGGTCCAGATATGGTCATTTGCCAGTCCCTTATTAACCACTAGGTTGAGGGAAATAACTGGCCAGCCTCTGACCAACCCACTGCTCTCCCCAATTAACAGTTTCATCAGAATGATATGCATTGAAGGTGAAGTTAGTCTCAGGGCATAAAACAGATCCAAAAGTAACAGATGTCTACTATGCAGACTATTCCAAATAAGGGATGTTCATGAATAGAATGCTTTTCCATATGTATTACATTCATAGAATTACTAACCAAAGAATTCACTGATATTTATTTAGTAAGGACTGAGTGGTGATAAATGTTTTCTTTCTCATAATCAGAGTTTCCCTGTTATGAATTTTCTTATGTCGTCTAAGGGCTGAGGCACTGCTGAAATTATTCCCACATTCGTTACAGTTATAGAGTTTTTCTCCAACATGAATTCTCTGGTGTAGCCTAAGGGACAAGATCTGATGGAAAGCCTTCCCACATTCATTACATTCATAGGGTTTCTCTCCAGTATGAATTCTCTGATGTTGATTAAGATATGAGCCACAACTGAAGGCCTTCCCACAGTTGTTACATTCATAGGGTTTCTCTCCTGTATGACTTCTCTTATGATGAATTAGAACTAAAGCATCACTGAAGGCTTTCCCACATTTACTACATTCAAAAGGTCTCTCTCCAGTATGAATTCTATGATGTCGATTAAGTTGTGAGTCAGTCCTAAAAAACTTCCCACATTTGATGCACTCATAGGGCTTTTCACCGGTATGAATTCTCTGATGTTGATTAAGATGAGAGCGATAGCCAAATGTCTTCCCACATTCATTACATTTAAAGGGTTTCTCTCCTGTATGGATTCTTTGATGCAGAGTAAGGGCTATGCGTCTGCTGAAGGCCTTTCCACACTGACTACATTCATAGGGTTTCTCTCCAGTGTGAATTCTCTGATGTTGATTAAGGTGTGCGCTCTGTCTGAAGGCTTTGTTACACTCCTTACATTCATATGGTTTCTCTCCTGTGTGAATTCTCTGATGTTCAACAAGGAAGGCATAACGGCTAAAGGCCTTCCCACATTCATTGCATGCAAAGGGTTTCTCTCCGGTGTGAATTCTCTGATGTTGAGCAAGGTGTGCGCTCTGTCTGAAAGTTTTGTTACATTCCTTACATTCATATGGTTTTTCTCCGATATGAGTTCTCTGATGTTCACTGAGAAAGAAGTCATGGCTAAAGGCTTTTCCACAGTCATTGCATGCACATGGTTTCTCTTCATTGTGAATTCTCTGAGGTTGGGCAAAGAATGAGTAGTAGCTAAAGGCATCACCACATTCATCATACCCATGGGGTAATTTTCCAAAATGAGTTGTTTGATGTTGAGTAAGTAAAGAGTGGAAACTTAAGAGATTTGAAAAATCATTACTTTCATAAGGTTGCTCCCCAGAAGGAATTCCTGTATCTTTACTAAGGTATGTATTCTGACTGAATTCTTCACATTTATTACCTATCAAGGATTCTTCCTCGGCATATAGTCTTTTACGTTCAATTAGGACTGAGTTCGGGGGGAACATTTTATCATAAATATCAATTTTATGAACTTGCTCTACTGTGGGGACTCTCTGTTGTGTTAAAAGTACTGACTTCAAGAGAATGCTTCTCTTAGAATTATTACATTCACTGTCTCTTTTCAGAGCAGAGATTTCCTTAAGAGTTGTCACTTGCCTGAAATGCCTCTCTTGATTTCCTTGACGCTGCTCAAATTCACCCTCGTAGTTCCAGGCTTCTCTGAAACTGGAACATTCAAGTTCATAACTTGCAAGTCTTTCCATTACCATCCCCTGTGATATTTCCTCTTCATTAATGTACCATTTTGGAGGTAATTCCTTGATTTCATACCAAGACTTCCAGTCTGAAAAATATCAAGAAAGCAAATGTCTCCTTTTCTCCTTTGCAAGGAGACAGAAAACTGTTACAGGAGAAATTGGAAGAATCTAATCGGGAGAAGGGAGGGAGAAAGTACATGATTTCCATATCTCTCAAATATGGCCATGCAAAACAAACAAAATACAAAGAACAGACAAAGAATGAAGACAGCTGACAAGGGAAGATATATTTGCTGATGATGGGGAGGAGGTGACAGGGGAAATGTAGAGCAACTAGCACATTAATATACAGGCAAGATGTAGTGCATGAAGATATAGACAAAGCTAAATGCCATGGAGATAAGGAACTGAGAACAGATAACATCATAATCACAGTTTCCCTGCCTCCAGTTTTTAAAGTCTCCAGTCCATTATCCTGCACTATCCATTCCCATTCATAAGACTAAAAGCTCCATGAGAACAGGGACTAATATTTACTTCTTTCTCTTACTGTTGCATTTAGTGCTTAGGACAATGACAGCATTTTGTTGAATGAATGAATGTTGAAAGGATGCTCAACAAATTCTAATATTTTGTCAGAAATTAGAAAAAATGATGGGTTTATTTTCCTCAGTGTCTAGAGGAAATCTGGAGTTAAGTATTCTTATCATTGAGAGAAAAATGCTGCCTACAGAATAGATACTTAATACTTTCAGGAGATGATACCAGTTGAGATAAGATGGAAGGAAAACTACTTTGTTAAAAGATGACAAAAAGAGGAAATGAAAAAGTCCTTTCCATGTCACACTACAATATCAGACAATATATTCAACTATATGGAATCTACTACCAACCTAGCACCTGGTAGAGGGGAAAAAAGTCTGAGAAACAAGTCCTTTAAACTCCAAGGGGAGAGATAAAACTTGTGAATACAAAAATTCAGTATCATGCATAATGAAGGACTAGTTAATATGACATACATTATTAGTAGTAATTACAAGAAAAACAGATCAAAACTCACTATCTTAGTTAAAGAATAATTCTTGGAGAGTATGAGCTTGATTTTCAAGGCTATGATCAAGCTTCCAAAACACAGTGATTATTTCAGTAACAGTCATTTTCATGTTTCAATATGCTTAAGGATTACTTTAGTATTACACATGTTAACATATTTCAGTTGATTACATAGTCTTTTGAATAATAGCTTCTCATCTGTTGAAAGAGAAGCTTCCCCCACACTAGGTCAGCACAAATTAAAAAGCAAAGAACATACTATGCATCTGGATCTTTCTTCTTTCTAATACACCTTCTACTCAAGAAAAGCCCCCATTCCCACCAGTCCCCCTATGCCAGCCATGGATTTACTTTTATGTGGGCCCCCATTTCAACCCCGGCTGGAGAGGACTTGATCCTGTTAGAACCAAACTATTACTTATACTTTTGCCCCAAATATAATACTTCTGCTCTCTTATCTACTCTCCTAGGACCTCTTCTCCTGTAACCACCACCCAGGGCCAGTACATTCTCTCTCAGCAAGAATGAATCTTTTCTCTACTCCAGACAAATGGCAGCTTTATAAAATACCTAATGTTGGATTCTGGGAGAAAAAGATGGTGGTGTAGGAAGGCAAGGTGTAATCCTCCTCCCAAAGACACATAAAACATGAAAAAACAGCAAACACAACTAAATCTGAAAACAACCTGAAGACTGCAGAACAGACTACCTACATCTGGGGAAAATGAGAAGAAAAGGGCAAAGTGGCAAAGGTGTGATCAAGCAGGACCCAAGCCCACCCGACCCCCAGTCCACAGGTGGGAGAAAGAGGAATGGAGCTGAGAGGAGGTAGTAGCCCAGGATCACTGACCACCTGGCCCTGGAGGTCTGCTCTGGAAACCGAGCCCACATTACAAAGGGTTCTGAGGATTAGCAGGGCTGGATACCAAGGGCAGGTGAAACACCTGGGGAGGCTGAGATCGCAGCTGCTTGTGGAGAACGGGCACAGTCCACCAGTCCCTGAGACAAAAGAAAAGTGGGCAGTTTGAAAGACTTCCCAGCAGTAGGAGGGGTGCCAAAGGGGCGAGTGTTGGATGGAGCTGTCTTCTTAGAATAAAGGGCAGATAGACAATACCTCTCCAGCCCTCCCCTGGCCCAACAGGCCAGGAACTCACAGGAGCCCAGATGCTCAATCCCCCTCACCAGCAACACAGCACTGAGGCTCCTCCCTGCACACAGACAACCCATCTGGCCCAGCAGTAGCATCAGATTTTACTGCCTGGCATACAGAGGACACTCTCTCAGCTTTCTTGGTTCTATTTCAGCCCAACCAGGGAGGTGCCTGCAGGAGCCAACCCCAAGAGCTCCTTCCGTCCCATGGGTGTCCAAGCCAGTGCTGTGTATTGGGTCTAGGCAGAGCCACACATCAGCCTGCCCACACCATTAACCCTGCAGCCCTGCCATTGCTGCAGGGCAAGCAGAGGGCAGCCCTCCCTCCAATGATTCCAGCAGACACTTCTGCACTGAGCACAAAGGCATGACTGAAGCAAATTGCCAACCTAGACTCAGACCACTACAGAAGATAGAGAGAAAGGCAGCCCTGCCCACTACATGCCAACAGCTGGGGCTCCCACACTGGAGAGGAAAGAGGCTTGAGCTTCTGGGAATGAGAGGACACCTCCTTCATAAAGCTATTACTCCATAGTAATATGGCAGAGCCATCCAATATAAAGGGAAAACACAGAGACCATGACAAAATGGAGGCAGAGGAATATGTTCCAAACAAAACTACAAGGCAAGACACCAGAAAGATGGCAAAATGAAACAGAGGTCATCAATCTTCTTGATAAAGATTTCAAAGTAAAAGTCAAAAACATGCTCATAGATCTACAGAAAAATATTCAAGATTTCAGGAAGGACTTCAACAAAATGATATAAGACCTGAAAAAGAGCCACTGAGAGCTGAAGAATACAGTATCTGAAATGAAACATACAATGGAGGGATTTAAGAATAGAAGAAACTGTCAATGAAATGGAAATTAGGGAAGAGGAACAAAATGAAGCTTAAGAACAGAGAGAAAAAAGGATCTCTAGGAATGTAAGAATAATGAGAGCTGTATGACCAATCTTAATGGAACAATATTCACATAATAGAGGTACCAGAATAGAAGAGGGAGACAAAAGGATAGAAAGTCTCTTTGAGGAAATAATGGTTGAAAACTTCCCTAGTCTGGGGAAGGAAATAGACTTGTAGGTCATGAAAGAGCAGAGAACCCATAACAAAAGGAACTCCAGGAAGACAACACTGAGACATACAATAATTAAAATGGCAAAGATCAATGATAGGAGGCAGTATTGAAAGCAGCCAGAGAGAGAAAAAAGATTACTTATAAAGAAAATCCCATCAGGCTATCAGCAGACTTCTCAACAGAAGCTTTATGGGCCAGAAAGGAGTAGCATGATATATTTAATATAATGAAAGAGAAGGACCTCCAACCAAGAATCCCTACCTAGCAAGATTATCATTTAAATTTGAAGCAGAGATTAAATAATTTTCAGATAAACAAAAGTGGAAGGAATTCACCACCATTAACCTTGCCCTATAGGACATGTTAAAGTGACTGCTGTAGATGGAAGTGTTCCTAAGGCTAAATAGCTTTCACCAGTGAAAACCAGAGTAAAGCCAGCAGACCAATTAATTATGATTAATTACCAAGCAAGTATGAAATTGAAACAAAAGAAGCAAAATCAACTGTTCACAAAACCAGTCAGGGAATACACAAAAAGTACAGATTTTGACATCTAATACATAAAATATGGAGAAGGAAGAAGATAAAAAGTACATTTAGATTGTGTTTGAAATAGAGTAATCAGCAATTTAAGATAGACTTATGTAATGAGGAAGCTATCCTTGAACCTTTGGTAACCACAAAACTAAAGTCAACAATAGATACACAAACACACATAGTAAATAAATGAATGAATGAATGAATGAAGAGAAATCCAATAACAACGCTAAAGAAAACCATCAAATAACAAGAGTAGAGTATAGAGAGGAAAAAAGGAACAGAGAGGAGCTACAAAAAAGACCAGAAAGCAATTAATAAAATGGCAATAAGTACATACCTATCAATAATCACCTTAAATATAAACAGATTGAATGTACCAATCAAAAGACATAAGGTGGCACAATGAATTAAAAAACAAGACCAATTATATGCTGCCTACAAGTGACTCATTTCAGACCCAAAGACATATGCAGACTGAAAGTGAAGAGATGGAAAAAGATATTCCATGCAAATAATAGGGAGGAAAAAGCAGGAGTACCAGTACTTATATTAGACAAAATAGTTTTCAAAACAAAGAAAGTAAAAAGAGAAAAAGAAGCACATTACATAATGATAATGGGGTCCAGTCCAGCAAGAGGAAATAACCATTGTAAATATCTATGCACCCAATATAGGATAACCTAAGTATGTAAAAGAAATACTAACAGAATTAAAGGGGGAAACAGATTGTAACACTTTCATTTTAGGAGACTTTAACACACCACTCACATCAATAGACAGATCAACCAGACAGCACATCAGTAAGGAAACAGAGGCACTTAATAATAGGCTAGATGAGATGGACTTAACAGATATCTACATAACATTCCACCCAAAAACAGCAGGATACACATTTCTCAAGTGTATGTGGAACATTTTTCAGAAGAGATGACCTACTAGGCCACAAAAAAGAGCCTCAATAAATCAAAAGAAGATTGAAATTGTATCAAGCAGCTTTTCAGACAACAATGGTATGAAAACAGAAATAAATTATACAAAGAAAAGAAAAAAGCCTACAAACACATGGAAGCTAAACAACATGCTTCTAAATAATCAGTGGCTCAGTGACCAAATTAAAACAGAGATGAAGCAACACACAGAGAAAAATGAAAACAACTTGACAGTCCAAAACCTGTGGGATACAGCAAAGGCAGTTCTAACAGAAAAGTACACAGCAATAAAGGCTCTCACACAAGAAACAAGAACAATCACAAATAAACAAACTAAATTCACAACTAAATAAACTGGAAAAAGAAGAACAAATGAAGCCCAAAATCAGTTGAAGGAGGGACATAATAAAGATCACAAAAGAAATAAATGAAATTAAGAAGAAAACAACAGAATCAATGAAACTAGGAGCTGGTTCTTTGAGAAAATATATGAAATAGATAAACCCCTAGCCAGCCTTAATCAAGAAAAAAAGAGAGTGTACACACATAAACAAGATCAGAAACGAAAAAGGAATAATCACAACAGACACCACAGAAACACAAAGAATTATTAGAGAATACTATGAAAAATTATATGCCACTAAATCGCACAACCTAGAAGAAATGGACAACTTTCTAGAAAAATAGACCTTTTATTCAACATAGTACTGGAGGTCCTAACTTTGGCTATCAGACAATACAAAATATAAAATGCATCAAAATTGGTAAGGAAGAAATTAAACTGTCACTATTTGCAAGTGACATCCTATTATACATAGAAAACCCCAAAGATCCCACCAAAAAACTATTAGAACTAATAACTGAATTCATCAAAGTTGCAAGATACAAAATTAACAAACAGAAATCTGTCACATTCCTATACACGAACAATGAATTAGTGGAAAGAGAAATCAGGAAAACAACTCTATTTACAATTGTATCAAAAAGAATAAAAATACCTAGGAATAAACCTAACCAAGAAGGTGAAAAACCTATACTCTGAAAACTACAAGACACTCATGTGTAGAAATTAAGGAATACACCAATGAATGGAAATATATCCCATGTTCATGGATATGAAGAATTAATATTGTCAAAATGGCCATCCTACCCAAACCAATTTACAGATTCAATGTAATCCCTATCAAAATACCAACAACATTCTTTAATGAACTAGAACAAATAGTTCTAAAATTCATATGGAACCACAAAAGAACCCAAATAGCCAAAGCAATCCTGATAAAGAAGAATAAAGCTTGGAGGATTATACTCCCTAACTTCAAGCTCTACTACAAAGCTACAGTAATCAAAACTATTTGGTATTGGCATGCAAGAACAGACCCATAGATCAATGGAAGAGAACAGAAAGCCCAGATATAAACCCACGCATATGTGGTCAATTAAAATACAATAAAGGAGTCATGAATATACAAATGGGAAAAGAAAGCCTCTTCAACAACTGGTGCTGGGAAAACTGGACAGCTACATGTAAGACAATGAAACTGGATTATTGTCTAACTCCATAAAAAATAAACTCAAAATAGATCAAAGACTTGAATTAAATCATGAAACTATAAAACTCTTAGAAGAAACCTGTAGAGGCTTAAAGATGGTGGCATGAGTGGTGAGACAGAAACCTCCTCCCAAAACCACATGTAATATGAAAATATAGCAAATACAATTAATCCTGAAAGAGGAACAGGAAAGAAGGCTGCAACACAATTCCTACTGGAGAAAAGAGCAGACATCATGGAAAAGGGTAAAGTACCAAAGCTGTGATCCAGCGGAACACAAGCCCTTCCCCCACGCAGCTCATCAGTGGGAGGAAGAAAAACAGAGCAGGGAAGGGGTGAAGGCCTAGGACTGCTGAACACCCAACCCTGGAGATCTGCTCTGGGAGCACAGACCTACATTACAATGTGCTCTGGAGATTAGTAGGGTTGGACAGCTAAGACAGGCAAAATAGAGAGACTGGGATTCCAGCTGCTTACGGAGAACAAGTATGCACAACCCACCACTCTCAGACAAAAGAAAGGTGGGCACTCTCAGAGACTTCCCAACAGTGAAAGGGCTGCTAAAGGGGCAGGATTGCACAGAGCTTGCTGCTCAGCAGAAAGGACAGGTGGACAAAATTGTCCAAGCGCACTCAGTCCAGCAGACTGGAAACTTTCAAAAGATTCAGGCACTCCATACCCCTGGCTAGCAATGTAACTCCCAAGGCCCCCCACTGCAATACAGTCTGCCGCTCCTTCCTCTCAGCTGG